CCTTCATCACACTTTTCATGATTTATTCAAATGTTGCAGTCGCAAAAGGGACAGGGCTGCGTGCGAGGGGGGTTGATCTCTCCCTTTTAACAGCGAAAGTTGAGTTTGTTGGAGACATAAAATATGCAGTATGGCAGAGTTAATTACGCATTTCTACATTTACACTCCATGTTGTTAATGTAGGTAAAACTTGATGGAAATGAAATATGAAAATAATGTTACCAAAAGGGTCGGTTTCTGCCACTTCCAACAGTGTGTCGAGTAGTGTGAAAGTTGACCTAGATGGACAGTAAATGTCAACACTCAGGTGCTGTAGACATATCATCACTTCATAAATGTGTGAAAATAACTGCTGAGTTCAGTCGGATAGACGTTTTCTGAAATCCTTCAGATGGATAGTGATTGCCTATATTGCTGTATATTTGTAGGTGTTTTATTTGGTAATTCTTCAAACCCTTGCAATCTTTATGCAAAAGAAAACTTAATATGATTGTGCATTTAAATCCACATAACCAAACTAGATGGGCACCCGTAGAGCACAGACCTCCACCAAGGCTGTTTCCATAAGTGAAGGATAATGTGTGTGTATCCGTCCTGTGATTCGGTGCCGCTCCAAAATGTTATGTTCTTCCTTGGCCCATGCTACACCCTTCCAGGGCCTGTAGCTTTTCATAATTCCTGCTGAAAAACAGACAAAAAAATGAACAGAAAACATAACCACCTTGGCGAAGGTACAGATACCATTGCTCCATCATGCCTTTGTGTGATTTGTAGCCAAATTGGGACTCCACAATAGTTATGGATCAGTAATGAAGGCCCTGTGGCAGACTGAGAAACAGAAACAGATTTTGATGGTTGTGTGCTGTTGCATTTCTCTAAATAGGAAATATGAGCAACATATAGATGTAGAAATGTTCCTTTATTTTCAGGTCAGCAGAATGACACCGCAGAGGGAATAATACGTTAGGACATATGGGGCTCAGTGTATCAAAATTTACATAATGCGCTGTGACATATATGCTCCAGAGGATCTCATTTTCACTCTTGAGTACGTCCCAGGGCTAAACTACCTCACATTTTATGACAGCTGCCAGTTCTACATGTCCTCGGATGGTTGTCCTTCTGTAGGGGTGAGAGTAGGTGCAACTGGGAGGAATTGATACTCGGCCAGTTTTGCCTCACTGAATCACAAAACAACTGCCATTCCTGCTCATTAGCTCATTTCATTGTATTGTATGTGTTGGAGTACAGACAGTACACTGTACATGGGTGTGTGTGGGAGTGAGAATTGAATTGCAAAGAATGTACACTATTGGAACTGAATGTTCAGTAGCTTTTTGCTGCCTGCCAAATTATAGTAATGTTGACACAAATGATCAACCGCATGGTGTTGCCAAAGAAAAAGTCTGGGGATCACGAATGTCCGTAGGACTGATCCTCTGTGGACCCTAAATGTTTGGATAAAATTTTACAACAATCCATGAAATAGTTGCAATATTTCAGTCCGGACCAAAAATAAACCCAATTGATTATTTAACTATACAGATGCAGACTTGTTCTGCATGATTGTCAATGCAATCAGTATGTTCCATGACACAGAGTGAGAATTGTGCAGGTGGCCACATCGTTTATAAGTAGATGTCAAGGGCCAGCTGGTGGATGCACACTCCCCCTGCCTCCCAACTGTCCCTGTGGTTCACAGCCAACTCGTCACCTAATAACATCGAGCAGCAAATCTATCATCAGAGCACAGCCGTATAATAGCCAAATGTGTTATCTCCACCGAAATTAAATGAATGTGCCATCTATAATCCATAATATAATATCAGATTTTCCAAAATGCCTGTTGCTAAAGGTGAAAACAAACTTGCCTCGGAAAAGCACCGACTGGGCAGAAAGACAGACCCACCAAACGGGGTGTAATTAAAAATAATCTGTTCAAAAAATACAAAAAGGAAGGAACCAGTTGGCCTTCATCAGAAGGCCTTCATCAAACAAATTAACTTGGTTTATAGTAAAACGTGTCATTCAAACGAGGTGCATTGTTGACGGTGTTATACATGTGTATAGCCCGAACTACCAGTCATCGCCCATGTAGATCTGACATGAGGTCCCTCCCACATAGCAAACATTGTGATGAGGTATTCCGGTCCATTCGTTGTGCAGTCAGTAGATTACTGCCTTCGTAAAGCCCAGCAACACTACAGTCTTGGCGATGCTCAGGACCACCCTCCTGGTATCCAACATCCTGCTGTTTTAAAGTCTGTTTGATCACACTCTGTAAGCCCATACACTGTAATCCGTTCACATGCAGAACAAGTGTGAAAAAGGAGTTGTTGTTGCATTCATTTGTTCATGTATTGTAACATTCTGTATGTACTGCATAAAAGGAGTAAAGGCCAACCTCTTCTACTGGGCCGTGCTTTGTTTTGGTTATTGAGTTTAGTTTCCTTGAATTAAAGCGGGTGAATGAATATTCATTGCCCTCACTTGAGTTCTGCAGGATGGGTTTGAAGAATAGACCCTCGACTACAGGTAATTGGCTCATTGATGAACTCATTAAGAATTTTAAATGTGTTGTTGAGTCAATGAAAAGCAATAATAAATCCTCACTGCTTGCTATGATGAGGTTGCATTCGTTTCTTTAGATAAAACCGAAGTGGAACAAGCTTAGTTACACAACAGTGGCGGTGATTTCCTGTCAATATCCATTGTTGTGGGGTCACCTTTTGGTTTCCTCAGCCATCAGGGTCATTTTACAACACATTTTAAGGCTCTGTGATGCTTTTCCTTCATTTGGTAAATGCTCAAATTTTGATAGAATGGTGAATAGGCTATTCTTTCTGAACATCTTATTAAATGAATGAGCAAAGATGCAATGACTGAGATTTTGTAAAGGAATACTTCAACCACAAAACGACTATTTGTCATTTACTCACCCTGGGTTACCTTGACTTCTTGAAGAAAACTTTGTTTTTCGCACATGCCTCCAAAACAACAAAGTTTGAAGACGGATATGTTATATTACCATTTACCTCAATTGATCAAGACCTTTTTCCTGTTTTTGATTCTCCATTTCTCCGTGGTGGCATGCATGAAAGAGAACAAATCCTCAAGATTTATGGGAACACAGGGAAATTGATATACAAATTGCCATTTTTGGGGTGAAGTATTCCCCCATTTATTTTTGCATGAACTACAACTTTGATATGGCATATTCTAAGAAGCAGTTTAAAGATGCTGCAAGCTTTAGACTTGCTTCAGTACAAACCAATAATATAATGTACCTATAGGCCCCTATATATCATATAAAATGAATTGTTACATTATTCTCTCCACTGCATCATTCTGTTTTTATCAAGTACTCTTTTTTTGACACTGTAAAGGCATTTCTGAGACAGCCAATCAAATTTTAAATCACAGTTTTAAAGAATATCTGCCTAGAATGACCTTCTCTTAACTGCAGATGCTAGAGATGGTCCAATTCCAGTTCTTTCAGACCCAAGCGAAGCTTTCGTCATGGTTGATCGTGCTGCTTTATTGAGTCATCTTGAGATCTGGATGGGTGCTTTGGGTTACGCATTAAGTTGCTTTGGGACCATTCTTACTAACAGATCATTGTCAATTAAAAAGGGGAAGTCCTTCCCTTCAAATGCTGTAATCACCCTCAGGTCCCATTCTCTTCAGTCTTTACATGCTCCCGCTTGGCTGTGTCATTTGCTGGCTTCCTTTTGAATATATAGCACTGCATTGCACTCAAACTCAATTTAGACAGAAAGATCTTGGTATCGTAGCCTCTTACACCAATACTGCAGTATAGATATTACCATGTATATTTAACTTCAAGTAGAATCTGAAATTATGAAAATGTCATATTTACAAAAGGAGAAAGAAATGTGTTTTTAAGTCCCGTTTTAGAATTCAGAGATTGTTATAAATGGAGATTTTTTTATGGTATCATTTGGTAATCAGAGAGGTGCAGTTCTGATTTCAACACCTCAACGGCAATGACATCCATGAGGCAATATGTTTTTGGGTTGTGCGTCCATCTGTGCGTCTGGTCCCCTCTCATCAACGTCGATCACCTGGAGGGAATTTCTTTAAGCTTGGTACAAACATCCACCTGCACTCAACGTCTAACTGATGACAGTCACTGTGATATTACAAAACACGTATTTGGCTATAACTCAAGAATTCAAATGCCAAACATGACAATTTCACATCGATGTCTAATAGGTTAAAATTTTGATGCATTGGTCACATTGTTTTTTCGAAGTTGTCATGCCAATAAAGCCAAATTGAATTAAATTGATGTAAACTGCAAAATCAGTGGCGGAGGCATACATCAGTGAGGCTGCAATTCTTTTAATCTGTAGCTGCATCCCTGTAGCATTGTTTTTGTTGTTTATTTATTTGTCTTGCCCTGTCTGTGTGAGGGTATCCCACATGCATATGATAAGCGGGGGTCTGGGAGATGTTGAGATGTTCTCAGCGACTCAGCACTACCTTTGTCAGAGAGAACATTTTTGCAAATCCAGGGTTGCGTAGTATTGTACTGTGTTGCACTGTATGGTGTCTCTTGAACTGTCTAAAAATAAAAAAGAATTATGCACAAAAAGGATATAGTTGGCACCAAACAACGAGACCTTTTGGTCCTTGCTTTGGCATCTTTCCACTGGCTGCCAGTCAAATGATTTTAAGGCTTTACTGGTCATGTTTAAAGGTCTTTCTCTGAGCTACAATGCTGACCTTTTAGTTGCCTATGAGCCTGAGTGCACTTTCAGATCCTCAGACAGGGCACTCCTGACTGCTCTCGAGTCTAGTTTGAAATCGAGAGTAAACCAAGCACTTGCTGTCAGAGAATCCTCAACAGCCAAGTGCCCTGCTGGAGAACCTGAAGCCTACTGAATAAATAAGACTTTTTTTTTTTTTATCAAGCAGCAAACATGTTAAGGGAACATGGAGTGCATGGCATCACCGCTTTCTATTCTCTTTTTCAGAACAAGAGCTTGAAAACGAAACTACTTTCAGGACACAAACTTTGTGACGCCTATGCTGAAGAGGTAAGGATTTCCAATTACTACATTCGGCTTAATCGCATACATAATTACTTCTCAGCTCCAGCTACTTCATTGTTCAAGGAATAGGTGCAATTCATGATAAAATATTGCAGATTAATTTAGCTCTCTTGTGAGCAAGCATTGTTAACAAAATTCAAATTATAACTCTAACTTAGCAAATGTTGTCTCGGTCTCTTCATGCTTTGGATCATTAATTTAACTGTGATTAGGAAAGTCTTTCACAAAAAGATCCACTGAAGTCTATTTCTGTCGTTCTCACTCTCTCTCTCACACATACTAACCCACAAACTTGCTTGGTTTTGGCTGTTCAGTGACATCTCAGACCAACTTGTCTCTAACAGTGAGCTCTTTGATGGCTGTACAGAGCAATCTCAAGAACTCAGGTTGTAGTAAGAGCAGCTTCGAGTACATTTCGTCTGTGTCAATTTTTGCTGTCACCTACTTTTCCTCGTTTTCTTCTTCGGCTCTGCTGCCGGTTGTTACGGTCACCAGCGTCCAGCAGGTTCACATCCTTATTGGAGCCTTGAGCTGAGCTTTGAACTGCTGCTTTTGCCTTCTTGCTGACCAATGCCCATGCTGGAATTTAGCCATGCAGGATTTTACAAGGCAGCGGGTCCTGCGGGCGTCGTGATGACATGCCCGAGTGAGTGCAGCTGGTGCTGTGTAATCGTGGGCTCAATAGTTAGGCAGTTGTGCAGTTGGTGATTCCAAGCATTTCCTGAATCCAGGCTACAGTATGAGGAATAACTTTAGATTTAACAACACACGCAGTGTGGGGATGCAGACAGGTTGATCGATGGCTACCTTGTTGTTCAGATGGAGATTGTTCTTCACAAAGACCCTGGACTGAACCTCCTCTCAGGCAGATGAGGCTTGGTCAATGCTACGGACATTTTTTTTACCAAGCTTTTTGAACGACAAAACTATTTTTAGTATCTTGTATATTCAGGTGATGTTAAGGAATTTGAATAGTAATCTGTACCCTCAAAAAATATGCTTTGCTTTGGATTACTAAAGTAATTAATAAAGCCTTGAACTTGCATGCTTTCTAATGTCCACCAGGGGGCGACTCCTCTGGTTGTATAGAGGTCTATGAGAAAATGACTACTTCTCTCTTGATTTATTACCTCAGTAAACATTGTAAACATGAGTTTATGGTTTCAATCTCTAGTTTCAAGTCTTCTTCAATACAGCATGATGTTCATTTAGTAGATTATGGTCCATTTAGAGTCAAACAGAGCATAAAGCAGGGTATGCTTTAGGGCGGGGCTACCTTGTGATTGACAGGTCAGTACCACGGCTTTATCCGGTCTGGGAACTGTCGGTGTTTTCGTCTAACAACTTTAACTCTTTCACAGTGTGTTTTCACCTGATGAAAACATAATTAAATGTTGAATATCTCAGCCGATAATCGTCCAGGCTGGTGAACGGTCGATCCCTTCCCGTAATGCAATTGGTCTTGCATCATCAGCATCAGAAATGATGGACTAAATTACATGCACACTGGAGCCAAAAGTTCCACAAAGAGCATTCAGTGTTTGAAAGCTTTTGATGTTGAAGAGCTTTTCATCGACTGTGAAGTCTGCTCCAATACTGAGGTCATTCTTGAGCTCCTACTGAGACACAGGAAATTGGTGTTGGAAATTACAGGCTTCCTTCCCTCTACAAATCCTCTAGATGAACAGCTCTGATATTTCACCAGCTTATCTCATCCAAACCATCATCACATATTCAAAACTCTGAGATGATGATGGCACGTTTGACTATGCAGCGAGGCATGGTAATGATGCTTCAGGAAAAAGTTTGGAAAGGACATGAAGAGGTCCTGATTGAAGTTGTCGGCCAGCCTACACAGAGCCAGACTATTCCTGGCAATAGCAAAGGGAATGATCTAAGTGGTGATAAAACTGTTAGCTGTGTGCTTGTAGATGATAATAGCTCAGTATGTGTACTTGTCCAGTGGTTCTTTCTGTGACTGATTATTTCTGCAGAACTGTTATTAAGGCAAGTAGACTTTGAGTTCCTTAGGGAACAAATAGCTAGCAGGATTTCCTTGAACACAAGGTAGATCACTGGAGGTCACTGACTTCAATACACTTGGGAGGCTATAAAAACGAAGTACATCAGTGAGAGGAACATTCTTACATGCCCCTACTTTCATCCCTGGAAAGTTATTTATGTTTTAAAGGGAGCGGTTAAAGACAAGACCTGTAAACACACTGTAATGGCCGCGGAGTTACAGAAAGAGATGTGTAGTAAAGCTGCAAAACAATCGCCGCCAGTGCAGGTAATTGAACAAACAACATTATTCTATTGCAAGTTTGTCTAATGCTAAAGAAGACATTATGGAATCGTGCTTTTTTTATTGCTGTGGACGTCCACCCAAAACATTAAACCAAGATTAACCATTGAGAACATGTTTACCCTTAAACTTTTCTTAATTGTTGTCTGGAAATTAAATTTTTTGCTTCAAGGAATTGTTTCAATTATGACTTCCTCCTCATCTTCGAATCTTTAAAACGGGGCTTTGAAGCCATTTCTAAGAGCTGAGATTAGGCCTGATCATTTGTAGCTGGCCTTGGATAAACTTTCTAAGCATAAGCTCCTTTTGTTGCACATAATACATGTCAAGACTTTGTATGAGTAAACAGCCACTTTCCCTTAGCTGTGATTTGCGTTCTCATTTTGTGAAAATTGGCTTTGGGAATTCCCGCGTTGTATATTGGAATACATTTAATTTGGTGTGGTAATCGTTTTTTAGAAAGCTGCTTCAACTTGTGCACTGCTCGCTGTGTGAGGTGGAGGATCAAGCTTTGTGCTGTTAATCTGTGTTGTGTGGTGAAAACTACCCAGCTACAAAGACACAAAATGAAACATTAGCAACACTGTGAAGGAGGTTGTATGGTTGCTGTTACAGTAATATGCCTGAACTGCACCCGTTTTATTCACTGACTGTGAGATGTATAACTTGCTGAGAATGTTACCCGGAGTCAAGAACAAACTGTCTTATGGAAATACTAATTATCATTCAAATAAATGTCCACAAAATAATATGTTTATGCTTTTAGACATATGATGGTTATCGGCCTCAAAGACCAATTTCCTGATCTGGGAAGTGGCTTATTAGGAGTGACTGCTTATTACTCCTTTAGGTTACTCGCTTGGGTTGGACTTTGCTAAGTATTTTCCTGATTAATCAATAAATCCTTTGATACAAAATGTCTGAAAATAGTACAAATTACCTCACAATTTCCTAAACACCTGACATCTGCAAAGTGCTTGTTTTGAGCAACAACACAAAGTTATTTAGTTTACATCCACTTAAAAGTAGCAAATCCACACAATTGAGAAGCTATCAAGCATTTTTGAAAAAGCAAAAAAAGGCCAAATAATTCATTAAAATAGTAAATTAAAATAGTTAGATTCATTTCTCTGTGGATTGTTTCAACTCTGCTAAAGGAACAATGTCATAAATATACTGTCATATGTTAAGTTACATTAAATAGCGATGCTATCATATCCTTGTTTAAAGTGTTGAATTATTATTGTGGCGCTTTATAATACTAATTATGGTTTTGATTTGGCCTTAGTGAGAATGTGGGGCTTTAGGAATAGTCAAACTGATGCTGTGCACTTGCTGAGTCACCCGGTCAGTTGGTTCAAACTAATTGTATCTATTTGGGCATAATGAGCAGTTTGGACTCTATTAGCTGCTATGAGGGTTAACAAGGCCAGTGAGACTCGTGGCCTCATTATTCCATGTGCTTTATTAAAGACAATTCAGGGATGTGTGATTGTTTGCACTAAAATAATTTCAAATGACTAAGAATGGCTCCTTTTTTGTAAATCCAGAGATATTTCATAGTAGGGTGGATGGAAGCACTTGTCCGTGCCCATTTCTGTTCTGAATCTCAAACAGTTTGGAAAGACAATAGTGGGATTGTCCACCTTCACACATGACCGCATGAATGGGAGTAGGTCACTAGGAAAATTGTAGCACAAGTTCAGCCAGGGAACTCACTGGCAGGCAGCCACTGGCCTGACTCAGCTGGGTGTTTGTTCACTTAACCAATCACAGACGCTTCCCAAAACCAGCACTCCGTATCAATCGGAAAGGAAACTCGCCAGGTCTTTGGTGCTGTTCAGTTTGGCTATTTCTGCTCCAAATCCAATTCATTGGGGATAAAAATGGCATTCATGCAACCTTTCTGAACCAGATGGTGATGTCCCCAAGGGAGGAATCTGTAAGCTTAGAGTCACAGTCAAGGTTAACACCTTCCAGTAAGGGAGAGCGTGTGGCATTAGGGATGCCATTTAATCTGTTGCGCATCTTTTTCCTCACGAGCATGAATTTATCACCTGTTTCCTACTCTGTCAAATTTATGGTTTTGCTGCTCATGATTTGGATGATGGATGTTGTTACTCTTCCACCGTTCCAGCGCTGTTGTCACTAGAATTACGTTTCATTCTTGCAACAGGATTTATTAAAAACATCTAGCAACCTGAACCATTTGCAGATAACATATAACCCGCTGGATTTGGGAGGACTTCCTGTGATGACTGATTTCAAGTCGAATGGCCTCGTGCGATGGCCTTTTGAATTATTATTCATTTATTTACACACTTCGGATGTGTGTGTGTGTGTGTGTGAGAGAGAGAAAGAGGTGGTTTTACAGTATGTTCTATGCTCAAATACCATCTGAGCTGGTTTTATTCTTGCACTAATACATGTATCTAAAATGAGTCTAAAATTTCATATAGGTGATTTCTACATATTGGTTTAATAACTAAAATTATTTTTATCAGATTCTCAGATGTTATCGTGTTTCTGAGATCTATTTGTATGTAGCCCATGTAATACTGATCCAGGAAGTATAAAGAGCGACAAAGTCGGGGTGGATTCGTGGGTCCAAAGACACTGGAGCTGTTTGTCATACAGCTTCTGCACTAAAGTAGTTATTTTAACCCAAAGGTTGAACCATATGTCACATAACTTCAGGACTTGAGTTAACTTCCAAAGTTATTTTAACCCAAACATTGACTTTTTGTCACATAACAGTTCCAAAATAACTCCACTCTTTTCCTAAACCGATCAGAGTCATTTTGATGACTAAACCTGACCAAGTTGTTGCAGATTTGAGAAATGCTGGACATTCATCAGAGAAAGCGACAAAAACGAGGAACAACTTTTCGTAAGATATCATACAAACCATGGTATGAGGATGCGATGTTCAGGGAGATGATGCACCAAGTAAAGTGCACAAGAGCAGATCCCTTAAATAGGACAAACGCATTACTATGCTCCACGTCATTCACCATCCATAACGAATAAATCAGATTACCCTGACTGAAATGATTGAAATAAAATACATACTTAAGTCAGTACATTTTTTGGCCGCAAGCCAGTCACTGGTCTGACGCAGTTCACATGCTTTCACCCAATCAAACACACTTCACAAATAGGGCAATCTGTTTAAACTGAGAAGGAGACGCACGACTGCAGGTCCGTGCTTCCTGCTACGCCATACTGATACAGATGTATGCCGAGCGCGTCCGGACACTTTTGCACACCTACCACACCACCCTCTGGTGTCAAGTCACCCGTTTGTGTCTGCTTCAATGTAACGTGGAGCAGTGGCGCTGTTCCCTCACAGGGAGGAGTAATGGTACATTGAGTTACGGGCACAGACTGCACACGCAAAACAAAGCTATTCTTTGCCAAAAGCAAAACAATGTTTGTCAGTGACAATGCAAGTCAATTGTTAGTTGTCGCTCCTGACATAAAGCTTTGACAGCTTTGACAAAGGATGAATAGAAAATTAGAAAGGCATCAGAGTTTTGACGACTGAGAGATACTCATAGTAGAGTTTTGACGGTTTCTCATCTACCTGTGTAATTTGCTTCGTGACCAAACCAAACTCTGCCCGTCTCTGCTCGATTATACTTTTTTTATCATCTCCATGTTTCCAATTCAAGACGTGCTCACACACTCTGTCATATATACTGGAGGCTATCCAGTAGGCTGAACTTGGATAATGAGAAACCCTTAGAGCCTGTACTGCCATATTTTAGAAGATATGCCTTTAGATGCAGAAGTGGATGGGGCGGCTTCAGCTTTAAGTTATTGACACTGACGATAAAAAAATCAATTTTTTTGAAAAACAGGGTAGTTAATTGGACAGTTACAAGAAGCACTTAGCCTGTTATTTGGAGAGGGAAAATGTACAAAGATAAGGAAATGTAAAGATGTATAGATTTTGTTACATTTTCGCTGCTTTCAGATAAAAAAAACTAAAGAAATCCTGTTGTGGTGATTTCCATTATTTAACAATGACTGAAGAATCGCATGCTTTCCTGCTGCTTCTCTTACTGCTAAGAAAATTCAAAATGCTTCGTCAATAAAAAAACAAACATGTATTTAAAGATCCACTAATAAGTATTTTACATATCCGACGGCAGACATGACATCATTTGATTTCCATGTGCCGGCCCAATGTAAACATAATATGACCCACGTGAGTGTATTGATCAGGCTGATGATACAATTATAAACACATCCTCCCCTATTTATACGTTGCATGTCTGCATTTTCACTGATCTGGAAACAACACAAGTGAAGTCATTGACAGTTAATATAGCCTGTTTAGCAGCTCAACAGATGCGGACGAGGTTTCGAATTTCTTTGATAAACATCAATTTTGATGCTTTTTTATAACCTTATTTAGATCCAAAGTAGGCCTACATGTCTTAACCAGTGAAACATTTAAATGTGCACCGCAAAAAAGTTGTTTACTTTCCAGATTAATTATGTCTTGTATTATGAACAATACATAGACCTTGCCATGTCACTCAGCGCTGACCACCAGAACACACACACACAGTTAGTTTAGATTCCTGCATTCCTTTCGACAGGCTTTTGTTAAGAGAACTATCTTAATATTCAAACACTTTTTTTCGTGGAGCGTCAGATCGGCTTACATTTAGAGCTATATTTGGGGCTCCGAGTAAGCCTCGGTCTCTGTACCTGCCCAGCACTAGCTGGTTAAATTAGTGCAGCAGTTAGAAGCTAAACACCCGAGATACCGATATTTTCTCAGGAGCGAAAAGAAGAATAAATATTGGACTTTTTATTGGACAGGTAGACACAAACATGACTGCAATTGAATGCTAATGTTGCTCTGTGTCTGAATGTGTGAATAATCCACTGGTTGCCAACGAGTTTATCCACTTGTCCCTAAATGGACAAAAGATAAGTTAAAGAAAGTATTTCATGAACTTAAAATATTATATGGTGGCACAACACTGTGAGTTAGCAGAACAACTCCAGAACAGTCCAGAACAACTGACACTAAACAAGAGTGAACGAATCCCCAAAACATCCTCCCTAATATATTCTAATCTCAAATCCCTCCAGCATGTGGCTTCCTCTTTGCTTTCACACAACTAAACATGGCTGTCCTCGGAATGGACTGCAGGAATTTAACAGTTTTTTCATCATTCTCACGATGACTTGAATATTTTGAAAAAGTTAGGGAGAGCTGTAAAGCGACACAGTATTTTATAAGCTAGGTGTCGCTTTTCTTGTAACTATTTGGAATGCAGGTCCCACCCTTGCAGGATTCGAACCATCGGGATCAAAAAGGCGGAGACGCTGCTGTGATTCTCTTGGGCCGAGGAGACAGCTCGCATGAGTTATTCCGAGTAAATAATAGCTTTGGAAAGTCTGACAGCTCAGCACATTTAGAGATTCAGATATTTGCATTTAGCAGTCAACACTCCGCAGCGTGTGATTCTGTGGCCTTTTAGCATGATTCATTCCATTCCCAGGGAGCATCTCAAAAGCTCCACTTAACTGATACAAATAAAATGAATTTGTTAGCATTTCATGTTACGACACAGGCCACAGAAAAACTTAACTTAACAATCGCAAATCCAATATATGGCTCGCCCTCTGTGAGCTGGGAGTTTTAAAGATAGCTCTGTGTTTATTTAACCTCACAATTTGTTTTATGAGGAGCCCCGGGATGCAATATTTGAATCCAGTTACACATGACAGGAGATGGGTGTCTTGGGAGATAGAAGCACCCTGGGAAGAGGAATAAGAAGATAAAGACTCATGAAATAAGAAAAGGCACAGGTGCTTGTCAAGTACACAAAACCCTTTGAAGAGAATTTGTCCCTCAGCGTTGTGCTCCGTGTGCTTTGGTGAAAGATTAGACCTCGTGTCAAATTTTTACTGCCTGTGTCAAGGAAGTACTGAGATAGATAGATAGGAAGAAAGCATGGGAGGTTTATAGAGATAGACAGTCGGATAGAAAGAAGGAGATATCAGTCATGTTTCCTTCCAAACGTAGTGCATATTTTAACAGAATTTCCAGGAAATGCATTCTGTTCTCCTGTTGGTTGTCATTTAACAATTGCAGTAGAAGAGGGAACGACAGAACGACACAATTAAAAGAGCTTTAGACCTTTTTGTTTGTGATTCCGTCATTGTCCATCATTGTCTCTTTGTAGCTAAAGTTTGTCTTACGTTTTAAATTGCTCTGTACGGAATCCAGAGCAAATCTATGATTGAGGGATTGTTTCCACACGGATCTCAACATGGCGATCGGCTGAGTCGGAGGTTCGCAGCTAACAGTGCTAACAACGCAAACAACAACAATGCTGACAGAGTGTTTACCTGAGAAGGAACCGGAGGGTTGACCCAAAATGTCTTTATGTTTCTACTTGTGTTTTTTATGCACAAAATGAACATAAAAACAGATGGATAGAAAGTCACCTACACCTATACAGAGGAGGAGATGTAGATAGATACGTTGAAGGGGAGATGTAGATAGGTTGGGGAAAGAACATATATGGTAAATAGGTTTTAAATAGGTCTCATAAACCCTCATAATGACTGAAATATAATGCACTGACGATCCCTTCCTTTAAAACTCAAACTTTGCAGAGGTTCAAATGGAGTCAAGCCGATTGTATTTGCACAGCAATTAATCACAGTTACAGTCCTGTAAGGCTTCACATTAAAAACTATATCCTCACTGAAGACACATAGAAACCCTCTGCTGCAGAGCCCTGTGTGGAGGCTTACAGTGTTCATGCTCACATCATGAGCCGCTGTGAGGCTAGCTGTGTATCAAGCCATCTAGGAGACAGCCTCTGTGTTCCATCTGCCTAGTGATGCGGAGCAGCAGAGTGAATGTCTGCTGGTCACTGTGTCTGTTTTGGGGGCGTCAGTAAGGGTGTGTGTGTGTGTGTGTGTGTGTGCGCGCGCGCTGCTTACCGTAGCCGAGGAGCCGCGCATGTGTGCGGTGATGGTGGCGGTAATGTGTGTAGTGGGAGTGGGAATACAGGTTTAGACAGTGGGCAAGAAGCCAGTGCATGACTGCATCATTGTGTGGACTATACAGTTCAGTGAAGGGGAGATTTGATATTTTCTTCCTCTCAGTAGAGCCTTCCTTTAAGCCAGAGCTTTGCCCAGGGAACATTCACAAAGGCTGCAGCTGGCAGAATCCTGCTACGTGATCTAAAACCAATTTCGCTATTTGAATAAGCTAACACTTATTTTCTTATCTTCCCCTTGCAGTCGAAAAAAATCCAGGCTCAACTGAAAGAACTGCGGTACGGGAAAAAGGATTTAATTTTTAAGGTAAGTTCAAACTGAAGGGGGGCTGGCTTTACAGTAGCTCCAGACCAGAGGTAAACGGGTACTTCAGACCACCTTGAAAAGGATGATCCCATCACAGGAGGTACTCCAATTAATTCAGTCTGCAATTACAAAGGCCAGCGATTAGTCCACATAGGGCCACATACTGTCTTCTGATTTCCTTACATTAAGATCCATGTAGAGCCGAAATAAGACGTATGAGGATACATGGTGTGGACAGTGGTCGATGAAGTTTATACAAGGAAATCTCCAAGACACAAATACAGGCATCATGTATCGCTACATTCCAGTGAGCACCATGGTAAGAATATGATGCAATGAGGTTAAACCCTTCGGAAAGATGTTCTGAGATGGCTGGGAAATGTTAATTTCGATGTAATTGATACCTATAGTGAATTTGTGTCCGGCCAACGCAGTCTCACTGACATTCGTCCAATCCCGATGCTTGGTCAGTGCTCATAAGCTTCAAACTATGATACTCTAGGTACCCCTCTGGCATCAGTCTTAGACCACTCAGCACTGACCAAGCGACTGTATTTTTCGAGTTGGTAGCGAGAACTTGTTGGTCCTGTAAATATTGGGAGGGTCTTTGTTTGCTTCTGGCCTCAGATGCCTAGGTACCAAATATTGATTATCAAACTTTTTCATAAGTCTTAAATTACTGCCACTGAAGTTTTCATGGGGCATCAGAAATGTGTCTCCCCCTCACATACGTCCTTTGCAAGCACTCGCACATACTCTACTGCCCCTTGAATTGCGACGGAGTAATATTTATTGGCATTTACTGGAACATGGACTGACCTTTCGGGCCTTGTTTGCAGTGTTAAAATATCGGTCGACATTTCAGCCACGAACAATGTCATTTCTTAAATGTATGTTTTGATCCATTAGACCCATTTCCTAAAGTTGTATCTGACATAAATGAATAAAAGGGACTCAGTCCTCATGAACTGAATTTTATGCTTCTAGCCCAACGCCTGAATACTTTGTCCCTGGATGTCCTGTTACTTGTTCTATTTCTAGACCATGAATGATGGATGCATTGACTTGTTTGCTTGGTGTCACTGCTCGTAAATCGTTGTCTTTAAATTGCATCAGTCACCCACACAACACAACCTTATTACTCAATGTCACCAGATATTTCATGTGGACCTTCAGAACATTATGTCCGTGGTGATTTACAGGTTCAGATGGTCTAGGCTCATTTCATTGTACTCTCTGTATTTTAAAACCAGCCATCTTTGAGAGATGACAGTCTGCTCTTTTTTTTCCTGATGGAAAGGTCAGAGGGAAATGAATCATGTATCTCTGACCCCACTGATCCCTCCTGCTAGTCCTGAAAACTCATATGTATTCCACATATGCTGTGATCAAAAATCACAGAGGGGGACGAGGGAGGAAGTAGAGAAGAGTCATTCGGAAATGTCATCAGCTTCACAGGGGGGATGTCAGTTTAGGCACCTTGACCGGGAAGCAGTCGAATTGGTTGTGACGGCTGTTGTATCACATCAAACTGCATTTTGCAGCACACCGTCACGGTACACAAAGACAGAACAATCTCACAAGACAACATGAAGAAACGTCAAAAAATCAAATTATTTCATCTTGGGAACAATTCGGTCTTTCTTAGAACTGACCTGTACCTGTCAGTTCCATAAAAGACAAAGAACTGTGGAACTATAAAAACAGAAATGGGTACTGTTTTGACAAGATGCAATAATGCAGGTTCACCAGCCTGCTCTCATTGCCAAATACCGACGCGTTGTCACGCCCCTCTGCGCCAGATGCCGACACACAAGGCACTCTTTAGCGTCCAACGTGACAGGCTTTTAAAATACAATGTAAACCTATCCAAGGCATTATTAGATGCCCAGAGAACATGCTGTGGGAGAGTGATGAAATAGTAAAAAACCCACACAGGGTGGGAGGGTCAAACAAACAAGGGATTTGCAACCTGGAGACAGATGTTCGAGACACATGGCCAAAACAATTATTTTGAAGTTACGTGCTTTCCGTACTTATGATACGTGATGTAATGCCCAACCATGATGTCTTTGCTAAACCCAACGAAGAGGTTTTGTTGACAGAGCCTGCGACCTCATACTTTGACGAGCTGGGCAACCCAATGCAATATAAAGGGGTGTCAAGGGTCCTGGCCAAGTGTCAGTATGTGACGAGTTAGGATGCGAATGTGTTTAATTCATATGTTGAAGACATACACCAGAAGAAGGAGCTAGTGTTGTCAGTGTTTTTTTCAGTGGATCATTTCCATGAATAGTCCTTCGATTTGAAGGACAACTTAAAAAGACTTAGTGAATCCAAACTATGCAGTCCCAGTACATGACTGTAAACACTACACACAGGCAGGTTCCCCTTCACTTGCTCAGCCAAAACATTAAAAACGTCAGAGAAACTGACGGTGCCTTCCACCATGTTTTCCCTGTGAGACAGAATTTTTGGCAGTCATATTCAAGCCCTCACATCTTCTTGACTCCTTCAGTCCACTTTTAAATTTACCCTTAGAGCTGTTTCTCTTCCAGCTTAGAAAAAAAAAACAGAAAGAAAAATGACGGCTTGCTGTAGCTGCATGCCTCGTCTAGCAGAGTGGCCAGTACCCTACTGACCCCACACCTCTGTAATGGATTCAGCACAAAGAATTGGAGCTTTAGACCTGGAGGCACTAACCCTAAAAGTCAGCATTTCTGGGTCAGTGGCCATGCGCCCGCAGTTCTCAGAGCACTATCTGCTGATGATGCTCTGTGTAATGGATGGTAATGGCTCTCAACTGTAATGCTACACATTCGCATGCACGCACATACAAACACAAGGTCTTGAGATCCTTTAGAGCATGAGCTAAGAGCAGGTTGGATTTGTTTTCTCTGTGCTTGTGAGCACAGCCTGGACTCATTATTATTCATTACTCCACACTTTCTAAGAGCAATCCATTCTCACTCCCAATGTGTCAAATTCAGCAGCTTGGTCAGTGCTCCTCGGCGCCTGACACCAACGCCCGGAGGCACTGTTTAGTGTCTATGCGATGCACCGGGCTTGCAAAAAACTCCAATGTAAACACAGCCGCGTCCTTATTACACACTCAGAGCAAATGGCAAAGTATATAGTGTGAGATAGATAGTCCATTGTGGGCAGAAGAGGCGGTGCATGGGTCAGCTCAAAGTGCAGCATTTTATATCAGTAAGCCATTCTCACATTTCACATACAAGAACCAGAAGTGAGTTTGGAGAGATTTTATTATAGCAAATTTCCCCTTGGGGACGAATAAAGTATATTTCTATTCTATTCTATAGCAGCAGCAATAATCATTTGGTTTAAGGGAAACACTGTTTATTGTTTTGGCCGTTTGTAACATCATATTATATTGTCCGCCAACACACTTTCATTCCAACTCGTCACATACTGACGCTTGGTCAAGACCCTCTGGCTTCACTTTCTAAGGAGCTTTTGGTAGCTCCACTACGGTTGCAGTAAAGACGTGGTTGATGTTGTGAATTCAAATAAAAACGTTTGAATAGAAAAGTACGTAAGCTAAGTAAAATACAAACCACGTAACAAATGTACGGAAAATACGTCAAACATTACGAACGTAACTTCAAAACAACTCAATATTTTGCGTTAAAACGCCGTTCTCCTGGTTGAAAGTCCTGCATTTGCTCTACCCATTCACCTCCCCTCCCTCCTGCTCTTTCTGGAATTTTTCAGTCTTAATACTTGGTCATTACAGGAGCATTTACTCTGAGTGACTTCTAATGAGGCGAATGGGTTTACATTGTAGTTACTTGAAAGCCATCTCGTACAGACGCTAAAGGGAGCCTTGTGCCTAGTGCCAAGGGGCGTGACAGTACATTGGTATTTGATGCCCTGGAAATGAATACAGGCCGTCCACTGCCAGTAGTGCAATGGCAAATATTCAATAACATTTTGTAAGTCCCTTTGAAATTGGACTGTTTTATTTAATTTTTTTTGCAAGTAACCTTCAGGATCCCATTATGATGAAAATAATCCAAACGTGTATCAGTGAATACTGCCATTTTCCACAATGAGATCATATGCAATCCTTTGTGTTGATGATTAAAGTACTGTCCCTCAAACTTTTATTACCTTTGGATCCCCTCTCGAGCACAGCCCGACGGCTACAAATGACTTTGTGAGATTGTCCTGAGCTCCCTGTAACTGGAAAAAAAAAAAAAAAAGATCTTCTGAGACAAAGATTTGATTCTTTGGCTTCTTTCAAAACCCATAGTGGTGAATGTTGCCCTGTCCTCGACTGTCACTGCACGACTCATCTATCAGGGAAAACTTAAACATCATTTCTGCTGCCCCATGAGTGGTAGAAGTGACAGACACGTGAATGGCAAACACGCCATGAGTTCCCACTGCGTCACGAAACTCCCTGAGGTACCACATAAGTCTTTAAAACTCACCAGGAAGAATCTCATCACCCATGTCTGAAATTCCAAATACTTTTTTTCCCCAGAGATTGTGGGTACTGTTTGTTGGGATATCTGACCTTGGGTGTTTCAGAATGTTATAGCCCATGCAGCTTTTCATTTTGAGAGGCTAGTAAAAGACACCCAACAATAGTTCATGGCTCAAAGACTGCATGCAAATGATCCAATACAAGTTTCTGTAACACTGTCCAGAGCCCAAGTCCATAATGCCTTTTAAACACTTATAATCTGTATAATTATAAGCAGTTAACAATATTCATAATGTTGTATAACAATATTCAAAACGCATTATAAAACATTGTATCATGACTTATAAAGTCAATTATCATAATACTTGATAACTGCTGGTGACATAATGTACATTACATTACATTACAGACGCTTTTATCCAAAGCGACTTACAATTCAGATCCTGTTCGCAAGTTAGTGAAGAAATAATTATGAAACATTATGTGCGTTTTTTCTTGCATACACTTTTAATTATTATTTTTTTAACTTTACGTTAAGCAAACAATATCCACTCAGTAACTAATAATCATATTATAATGCATTACAACAGTGATATTGCATTGTAATACACTGTGATCCTAGCAAAAAAAGAGTGTCAGTAGCCACTCACATATGTTTACAAGCAGGTTTAAGTTAAAGCTGAAAGAAAACGGCAAAATTTGATAATATTTCCTCAATTGCAAAAAGGGTTTTTAAAGCTCACTTGAGGGGATTATTGTCTTTGTCAAAAAAAGTTGAGGCACTAAACAGATTATGGAAACCTTTCTGCCGAATAAATTCTGACTGAATATTTTACATCAGATTTAAGTTGTTTCTGCTGTCAGTGTCTCTCCAGATATTTCCATAACGTCTTAATCTTCATGTAGGAACAGCATGAAACATGGCCAATAGTAGCTGACACCAAAGAACAATTAAAACTTGCCCAATTGAAAAAAACTCCTGAAGACCTCTCTCCATTGTTCAATACAATGCAGCCATGATCCCATTGCCCTCCTATTCAAAGACACAGGGGATTCATTGAGTGCTTAAGGCATACAATGTGCATGGAGTTGAGTGCTCAATGCTTTGCGCTGTAGGTCGGTTATTGAGGAGGTGGGGATGGAGAAATGCTTTTTTGTGCCCATAACAAACTGAACTGATCAGAAAGTCACGTCTTTCTCCAGGGCCAGCAGCTAATGGACCTGGAGCACAAGTTAACCATCGCCAAGGAAGAACTGGAGAAGACCGCACTGGATAAGGTGAATAAACCCCCAGAAAAAACTATATATATATATATTCTGCTTTAATTGTGATGCTTATGTAACATTTCTTTATTTGTGGGTTGTGTACTTTTGAACTAATGTTGTCTGTCTCATCTGACCCATTTAAACCCTGCAATTTCCAACGCTGAATCGAAAAAAAGCATTTGCAGTAATATTTGATTGTATAAATCAGTTTTGCAGCAGCTTTAATTCATGAACTATAATGTTATTTTCATCAGTGGTTATTGACACACTGTCGCTGGGGGCCAGTTATATGAGTTAAAGAATGCACGTGGAGAACAGGTAGTTCTGGTGCTCAGCTCAGGAGTACTGACATCAGAGGCTGCTGAAAAAAATAATTCAACCAATCATTCTGTCCATTATTATTATTGATTAAAAGTAAATGATTTTTTGAGCATTACTTCTTTTTTTATTGCTCTGGCGAGTTCTGCTTCATGTCTCGCCTAACGCTGCCTGCCTAAAGTCACTTCAAAGCATGGCCGATGGCTTTAACGCTTAAGTTCATTTCTCATACGGATGATGTGGGGAAGAAGGTGCGGAGGGATTCAGGAATCTGCTTGTGTGTGTGTGTGTGTGTGTAACTTTGTTCGGGGACAGGAGTCGCAGCTGAAGGCGCTGAAGGACACAGTTCACATCTGCTTCTCAGCTGTCCTGCACAACCAGCCCGGCAGCAGCCACAGATTTCCCATCTCCCCCACCCATTTGTTCAGATACCCATCGCTCATCAACAGCTCCAGAGTCACCTTTCAGCAGCCACATGCCAAGGTAACTCAGTATTCCACTCACTTCCATCTGATTTAATGTTTATCCAAAATACGGCCTGGGTTATTGTGAAAATCCAGCCTTTTTTAATGTTTAATGAATCGATGGAGTGATGGGCTCAGTCTGTCATGTCTGCTGTAGATGAGTTCCTGCTGTCCTTGAAGTAACAGCCTCACTGTGAGACGTCTGCATATGCTCTGCAATGATGAGATAACATTTCTATTTGTAGAATGTGTTTATATTGATCATCATTAAGAAATAGGGCTTTTAAATCCTAACAATAATTAGGATAATAATAAGTAATAATAATGTGTTGTGGTAGCAATGGTCTAACATCCCTACATTTCTGCTTTTTCTGTTTTTGAAATGTTTTAAAAAGCAAATTTTCTTGTAACCTCACATATGTTTCAAAGAAATATAATTAGCTTTAGTAAATGAATCAATCAATGTGGCACTCTTTTGTTCAACTATCTAATACCCACTGGGCATCACCTCTGATTTTTTTGTCATTTTTGCTTGTTGATAATAAATTTTTCTTATTACTTTGTAAAAGTTGCTTAATGTTGAATTCAGAGCATATCTAATGCCTCCACACAGCTCTCAAAATGGCGACGCTGGAGACGATGGCTAGCTGCTAACGGTTCTAACAGCGCAAACAGTGAAAACAACAGCAACAGTGCTGACGGAGCTAACAGTGTTTAGGGGGGAGGGGGACCAGAGAGGTCGGTGTTATCAGCGGTAACACTCGTATGTATGAGTGCAGTGTAAAAGGACGTCCGTCAGCTATCCAGAGGGACACAACAGAGAGACTCACATGCACTAAAAGGCACGTGTGGCCGGTAGCTCTATGTAAACAAAGCCCGGAGAAGCTCGTCTTGAACCACAGAGAAGGAGAGCGACTTTATTCTCTGCTCAGGACGGCATTGCTCCACTATATCGCTATATTGCAAATAGCTTTTGCTGCTGGTTTAATGCTCTGAATCTCGTACATAAAACCTTTAATGTTTGAGTTGAAACTGGCAAAAAGAAATACACACCTGACATTACTGCATGTGCAAAAAATATTTTTTAGGATAAGTGGCTCAGTCCAGGAGATTTATTATTGGTGGACACGTTATAAAAAAGTCTCAAACTAAATTCCAAATGTCACTGCTACAATTATAGATGAACTAACAATGCTGTTATCCAAATATGTAACAATGTTAGCGCTGAAAATTTACTGCCGCTGTAATCAAAAAAGTCACACATTGTGTGCCATGGATACGTGTCATTGTAGTAATCATGCTTGATTGCAGAGCTGGAAAGTTCAATTATTTCCAAGGCAGCTTCATTCACCGAGGCCTTGAATAAACATTGCAGACTGAAGGCAAAATGAACTCCCACATCCCCCTTGATATTGCCTGAAAGAGGATCAATGGGCCTTTTTCACAGGAGACGTTCCGATTTTTTTCAGAGCAGGGGAAAGCACAGGTGCAATTATTGCCATTAACGATGGCTCTATTCCATTTAGGTGCATCAGTAGGCCATGTCTGAGAGCCAGCGTGCAAAGTAGTAATGCCATGGAACAGGTGGAGCTAAATGGAGTCCAGCCCTCATTAATCTTGTTAATTGCACCTGTGGGTTTTCTGTTGCCTCTGCCTCTCAGAATCTGCTCAATTTGATTGTCAGTGAGCCCAGTGTAAACACAGCAGCTACAACAAGTCTGAAGAAGTTTGCTCTGTAAGGTAAAAAATGGAAATCAAGGTGGATTTTGGGATTTGCCTCTGTCATGGTGGCGCATCATTTTCCCTGCGACTTTCCAGATAAGATAAAGCGGGCTGCTGCTGTTTTTGCGCTCCGCTCCCGCGTAAACACCTTCAAATTGAAATTCATTTCACACTAACTCCCAGCTCGGTGGCATCATGGAATATAGCTCAGTGCCAAAATATTCACCTCACCACACATCAGAGCGCACTAACGTCTGCGATGAGAGTTTAAGTGTGAGGCGATTATTACCTGCTTTTGAATGTCTATTTGTCAATCTGATACTCTTGAGTATGAACTCTCCAGAGAGAAATGTAGCCCAGGAAATAATTACCGCCAAATATATAACAGTTGGGCAAACACAATTCAGAACAATAACATGTCTGGATCGAGCAGCGATATAATGATATAAAGTCATTTATACCAGTTTTTGTATTCCTTGATGCTTTTAGAGGTAAAGCCCAATTACTCGAGAGCATTATGGGAGTTTTGCTGTGTTGGATTTAAAATCTGTTCTCTGTGAAACGATTAACTCAATCTGACACAGGCTTTGTTTGGAGCCTCTCAAAGTCAAGGTCACAGAAGACTCAACTAAAGGCTCATGATTTAATCCCTTTTAAGAGTTAAAAAAAAAAGGTGACTAGAAAGAGGATAAAGGATTATGCCACCAGTGTAGATATTGCTTCTTGTTTTGCTCGACATTTTAGGACTGATGTCAAGATTTTACCCAGTCAATATACCGAATATATGTCTGTGACTCTAAGGAGCTAGAACTGAAATGCAAAAGGAATAAACACGTCACTTTAGTTTCCTGAAATACATACTTTAAAAGTACCTGCAGTTATTTTTCCCTCCACAAAGCAGTCGCGTCAGTCTGAATCAGAGATTGGCTTTGTTCGTATTTTTAAAAAGCAGTCGCGGTGCTTTATCTGCCACCATCCTGGTGAGCAATTCCGACTTTAAGAGGTTGTTCTCTCCTTGAAGCGGTCACAATTTACTCCGCGTCTCTTTCGTAGGTGCCCAAGATTTTTGACATGCCTCCGAGGATTGTTTTTTGTTTTCTTTATTTCTCATCATGCATCAGTACCACCGTCCTCAGCAGTGTCCCCCTGCTGTGGCATCATACGCCACAATACTCTCTAAGTGACATTTTCCCATCCACATTTAAACTCTTATTGGTGTTTGCTGCCAAAACGGGACGATCCCATTATAACTAAAAGTGTACTTCCCTGATATCTTCCCTTCAGTACTGTGAGCACATGGGGGGCACCGCTCAAAAGAAAAGACAAGTAAAGGAAATTCATAGTGTGGGTTGATTTTCTTTATTTTTTTATGCTAATGAGGTTTTTACTTTCCACTTCATTAGCATACAAATAGCAGCACTCCACTTGTGAGCCGTTGCTAGCTCCATTATCTCCTGTAGCCGCTGTATACTGTGACGGGCTGTCTGATGAATCTGAGCACGCCCTCACTGTAAAGATCACTGGGGTGCTCCATCTGTCCATGCGGAGGAGGTGGGTCAAATCTAATTTAAATCACTGCCAAATTTATCTCAAATTAAGTACTAGAAAAACAGCACACAATAGCACTCACTGTGCATGAAAGAGGCAAACAGCCCGCAGCTGAGGAGTTTAGGTAATGATGCACTGACATCAGAGGCAAATGTCAAGAAAGTTGGCTCTTTGATGACCACGTGGCTTTCCTCATTATGCTTGTTCACAGCATGGAAGCAGCCCCTGCAGTGTCATTATTGCGTCCTGTATCCTGGTTTCTGTTGTGTGTTTTTGAACCTGACATATTAGTACAAGTGAATTGTGGCTGGATTCATTCAGTTAGGGAGGTTATTATCTGAAAATGCATGGCTAATCATATGCTAATTATTGTTTGTGATCAAAACACAGCGGGGTGGGATGGCACCACCATCGGGGGAAAAAAAGAGAAAAACAACAATGCTCCAAAAGCTTTTAGGATATGGAGGAAGCATTTATCCACTAACTGCATGATACAACATTTGAGCTTCATGAGCACACTTGGGCTAAAATCCGCTTTGTGTTTTTTTGAAACCCAAAGTGGGTGAGAGGGATGTTTGTTCAAGCACTCACTGACACCACTTTGAGCTTCACGCTCGTAGTTTGAGTGAACATAATGGGCCTTAAGCTTTGGTAGAAGCCACAGATAAGACTCTCCCAGACCTTGCCCCTCACACACACACACACACACACACACGCACAGAGACACAAAGCTCTTCTTGCTAGTGAAAGATTCATTAGTGTGAGGATGCAGAGATCAGCAAGATTGGAGTGGAAGTTGCTTCATATTTAAGAGGCTCGGGGAGGGAGCCCAGTCTTGTGGTCCGATAGCATGCAATTTTCATAATGGGAGATGATGTCTTAGATGCTCGGAGCACTGTGGCGGAAGAGGAATCGGGCATTTCATTGCCCTGCTCTCAGCACTTACTATTTACTTTTATGATTGTTTTCTTGTCTATATTAATGGGCGGGATATTAACTCAAGGTGGTTGACACTGCAAAAATAAAATAGTAGCTTGAAGATATTTATCAGCTGAATTTGGATGGTAGAAACACATTTGCACCATCCCACAAAGATGGGAACGCTCACTAAGAACTTCACTAGAAGGTATACAGTGTAGAATGTATCCATTAACTGCATGACAAAACATTTGAGTTTCATGAGCACACTCGGACTGAAATCCGCTTAGTGTTTTTAAGAAGCCAAAGTGGGTGAGAGGGATGTTTGTTCAAGCACTCACTGACACCACTTTGAGCTTCACGCTCTTACTTTGAGGGAACATGATGGGCCTTCAACTGTGGTAGAAGCCACAGATAAGACTCTCTCAGACCTTGCACCTCTCTCACACACACACACACACACAGGCGCACACACACACACACACACACACACCTATGATCTACATAAAAAGGTCTCTTTTCAAGATTTTTCAGTTAGTTGCAATCTGTAACCTCACTGCTCAATGCCACCCTTTCACTGTGTGATTCCAGTTTAAGACATGACATGACATTGTGGTCGCCTAAAACTATTTAGCGTTATACATAGCTCCACCCCCTTATGTCAGTTCTGGCTGCAAAAAAAAACAAGATGGCTACAGCCAAAACGCCAAACTCTAGGCTTAAAAACAGTAGTCCACAAAACAATGGGTGACGTTGTGGTGACTACATCCGATCTATAGAAATATATCTCTTGTGTTGGTATATATATATTCACTGTGTGTTTACTGTTGCCGTGGATATCCTGCTTCTGTCAAAGAATGTTTTTCCCAATTTGGGATTAATAAATCATCCATCCATCCTATATACAGTCTATGATTCTGACAAATGCTGTCAGAAGTGAGGAAATAATGCATGGCACTTCCACAGGTAAAGCCACTTCTACTGAACCTGCCCAAGAAGATGTTGTTTGAGCTGACAAAGTACGAATGGAGTTCGACAGTGACAGGTTAAAATTGCCTGTGTTCATCTTGCGACCATCTTGTTTTATGCTCTCAAGAGACCACTTTTGACCCAGTTAAGGAAAGTACTGTGCACAAGCCTGGTGTTGAAGACTGGCTGCAGAAGACAGACGGTTACTTTTGGAGAGATGTCTGCTGTACAAAGTCAGTTTACCTTTCGTGTTCGGTCCTAGCTGAACAGATTGTGGTCGACAGCAAGAAAAAATACAGTATCTGAACAAAGCATAAATTATTATAGTACGTTTGTGTTATACTGTTCAATTATTTCAAATATATATCTGGAAACTGTGAAAAGGGGCAAAGAAAAAAAAAGAAATGATCGTAGGAAAAGCCAAAGATGTATATTTTCTGCACTGCTTCTAAATGTCGACATATTTCAGAATACACATCCATTGACAGCTTGGCCTTTCTTGTGTTGAATTTTGGTCTCAACGCCTCCGTGAGTCACTGGCCAATAGATCAGCTGTACAGTTAGCTTGTACAGATTGTTTCAATCCGACTCTTTGACCGGCTTGTTGCCAGAGTAGTGAGAAGTCTGTACTTCAACATGGTGACAACTTGAGCTGCCCCTAAATCATGTCAATGTCCCCACGCAAGAGGGTCAGAAGGCACTCGCTGTACTCGGGGCCTTAAGCAGAGAACTTTCTCCAACACACTCAGTTATTGACATCAGTCTTCTCAAAACTCATTTGTCAGGGAGCCTGCAGGCAAAGACTATCGCTGACTTTATTTTGACACCACATTTTGAAACATTTCTATCATACATTCATTGTAGCAATGCTGTTCACATTTACATGACAACTAAGATCCCCCTGAAAAATATCCTCAACTACTGTATGATGACCCCACAAAATCAGACTCTAAGTTGCTCTGCTGCTGCATAAGTTCAGGGCCGTATCCGCGGAAGAGTGTTTTTTTCCGGCTGGTAGCACTTTAGAGACGTAGGGTTTTACTTCAGCTGAGACACTTTTTGTTGTGCCTGGCGGCTATGATACGGAATACTGCGTTCGTAAAAATGTCAGCACAAGGTAGAGTACTTGCTCTGGATGAAGCACGTAGGGAGAGCGGCTAATGAGATTTGGTGGGCAAGGAAACATCTCAGCGAGTACCGTCGTTTTGTTCAGATTCAGATCAAATTTAATATCCCACACGATCCGTTTGGTCCAGTGCTCCAGACATGAGGACAACACGAAGTCCACAGTAAAAACAACATCAACAATAGTATAGATAGAAAAAGAAAGTTCTCAGAAGCCTCCCATGTAACCCGCCTGAAAGCTATAGTTTGGCCTCCAGCATTGAGCATTTCTTACACCACCGATTCAAAGCACATGAACCTCGCAAGAGTCACGCTTTTTCACACGGACATCATCTTCAGGTGGTAGTGATATAGATTGCTCTACATACTCCGGGGAGAACCTTTTCATCTCTGGCTGCTCATCTTGTTTCCCTCCTACTATCTTGACATTGCTTTGTCTGTTTTTGAAGTGGGTCACGTCACTGAAACATCACTGTCCATCATTATGTAGCTCCTCAAAGTGATGAAGCCCAAATCTGCCTCCCAGGATTATGCTTACTCTTCACTCAGAGCTGAACTTGTTTAAATCCGTACAGACATCGATTGCATGCTGTTTTGAAGGTCCAGCATCTGGGACCTACGAGTCAACTGTGCATTTACATTTGATTTGATAAAACAATTAGACCTGTCAACAAAAAGGGAAACTCGATATTTCCACTTTCCACCATATTGGAAAGGCTAAAGTTTTGCTTGTAGAAACAGCTGGTGTGGTTGTGTCATCTGGCTTCGAATTGCAGTTGTTTGAATTATAAAAATGTAGTTGATCTTAGTACTGGATATTTATTTGCTAGTTGAATATTACTGGGTTCACCTCCAAGCTGTATTATTTAAATAATTCTCTTTTTAGTTTGTCAGCACTCCGTTTCTTTTGCCCTTCCAGCTAGCTGCCTGTTATGAAACAGTCATAAGAGCCATGATTTATTCACCTCAAATAAACAAGCTGAATTAGTTTTTAAATGAACAAGTATGAAGTAAACATTTGTGAGGATTCGAGTCAGAACTGTTTACTCTGCAAGAACCCCAAAGCCACTGCTGAATCATCAACAAGCCTTCCACCTTTTATTTTTAACCCCAAGTTGAAATGTTCTCTCCTTTCCCGACAGGATATCTCTAAAGTTCAGAGAATTGTCACAGCCAGTAAATCACCCATGAACATCGGAGTAATGAGGAGAGAGGACGGCGGAGTTAAAGCCTGCCAAATGGAAAAGGTGAGCCTTTAGAGTAATCAACTATAATAGCCTGCGTGACCTGAGGGCCTGTACCCATGAGGTTCATCTGTTCACTGAATCATGCTTAAGTCCCTCATCAGATATATGGCAGGCCACTTTTACTCCACGTGTCTTCATTAGGTTCAATAATCGAAACATTTTGTGCAAGACCTGCAACAAGTCTCAGCTCGATAATACAGTCATTCGTTTCTATAGCTCAACTTTGACACTTACTGTTTTGTTGAATCAGTTCTTATCGCACTTTACCGGATTACAATCTCCTTTGTGGTATGAAAACACTGATAAACAGACCATGGCATCTAGAAGAATTGAATTGTTATAGTACATTGTTATTTTTTTTTTTTTTTAAGGAAGACCGGTAAACATAAACCGCTTCCTACTCTAAAAAGACAACCATTGTTTCTGTTTTGTGATAGTAAATTACATATCTTTGGGTATTTGGGACACAAAACCCATCAACTTGGAAACTGGGAAATGGTTTTTAATTGTTTCCATATTTTGTCGACTAAACGATTAATCTACATGTAATATCAGCCCTGATCACAAGCTAAAAAAAGTTGCTGAGGTCATGTGACCATACATATGCTTCCTGCTTCTTAAATGTGATGGTTTGCTGCTTTTATCTTTGTTTTGTCATAGTAAATTGGATATCTTTGGGTTTTGGACTGTTTGTCAGATAAAACAAGCACTTTGAAGACATCAACCGGGGCTGTTCTTCTTTGATTTTTAGATTAATTGATTAGACATTTTGTCTCCAAAATGCCATCCCCACAGATGAATCAATAGTGAAAATAATTGACCTTCACTAAGCCTCAGCCCCCGCTGCTATAATAAATTAAAAATTTTAATTAAATAATTTAAAAAGCGATTTCAGAGAGAAGCAGACAGAAGGGTCTACAATATGCGTTTGAAGGATGTATGCAGGATGACGAACTGACTCAGCAGAGAAAACAGGTTCAAAAGATAAAGAGAGACGCTAAAGCCAACAGATCACAGTGTTAGCGAAGCAAAGGGTCAACAATGATTCCAGCAATGCAACCGCATATGCATGGGGTAGTACTGTAGTTGCAGTGAAGATACATTTTGTGTATGCAAACATACGGTCAGATTTCCACTGAGGAACTTCACTGGAACATTTGCGGGAGCCGAGAGCCTTGCTTTGAAAGCAGTTGTTGAGGGAGGAAACAGAGAAGCAGCCACTGACCTCTCCTAATCACATTTGTCGTGGAGGAGGTACCTTATTATTACAGAGTTGCTTCTCTAAGATCAAGGCAACTGTGAGTATTCAGTTATCAGGAAGGCTCCGAATGAGTATCTCTAACCCTGTCAAAACTAACAGGATTTGAAGAAAGCAGGGGAAGCGAACAGGGTCCATAAGGACTTCTGACAAGTGGCTATCAAGAGCTATTACAGATATAAGTTGATAGACCACTGAACACAGGGGACTACGGAGGGGATGCCACCCAGGGAGGAAATTACCCTATATGGCATCCGTGTCAAAGTGATTGTTCTTTAATGAAATTGTGCCAAATACAATGTTCACTGGTCTCCCATACTTATATAATTTTGGCAGGGTTGTAAAAATCCTGCAGCAAGAGAGGGAGAAACATTTGATACAGATAAGAACAGACATATGTGAAACAGAGATTCAGATATCGTGTTTGTTGGTGAACAAAGCCACATCTCTCCCTGTCCTCCCCCCTGTACGCTGGGAGGAAATGAGGAGAGACAGTTTGTATGAGCGTGTATAGCTTTCAGTTTGAAAATGATAGGTTCGCTGCACTCTAACGAATGATTTTCATCGACAGACGTCACACTTTAACTGTTTGAAATATATGTTTCAAAGTGCATGAGGCCGGATATTGTCTCATCGTTGTATGAAACAGCCAGGCGTTCATTCCTCACGTGTCCTACATGTGTTTTGTGTGCAGCGGGTGCTTCAAGCAAGTGATTTCCCATATAAGACCAGAGAGGAGTAATTCATGGACTTTATAGTAACTGTGTTTAGTGTTCATCCTCCAAGTGCAGCGCAGCAGTGAAGTGATTGACACTGCTTGTAGCCATGTGTGCAATTCTGTTTTAAAGAAAATAACAAAAACACATCCTGTGGGGTTGCAGCTAGTGATTACTTTTTGTATTGATTATTTCATGATTGATTGTTTCAGTCAGTAAAATGATCTCAAGTTCTGAGGGCCAGAGGTGACGTCTTCAAATTGCTTGTTTGTTTGTTACCAACCAACAGACCGTTCAGCACGCTGGTGCTTATTCTCAGGACGTCAAATATCGACACTTTGTCACAGCCGTCGGTGTCTGATACCAACACAAAAGGCACCATTTAGAGTCTTTATGAGACGCACCAGGGTTTAAAGTAGCTACGATGTAAACCCATAAGTGTCATTATTAGACCAAAATAAAAACAGGGGAAACCCACACAGGGTCGAACAAACGCAGGACTTTCAACCAGCAGACTGTTTGTGTTCCGTTTGTCTTTGTGTTCACATTAAGTTTCAATTTAACTCTACAAATGGAGAATATTTATCCCAAACCAGGATCTTTTTTCCTAAAACTAACTAAAATGTTTTCGTTTGAATACACAACGTTGACCCCGTACTTACTGTGTCATAGTTTGACATGTTGGGCTACTTGAGAAAACTAGAAAACTGTCTAATAGTAATACAAATGTATTCGTACAGTACACATGTGAACAGCTTACCTAAATTGCTGTCATTAATCAAATGAGAAAGTTAATCAGAATATTATATAAAAGAAGTATAAGAAGTCAGCGGAACGTCTGGTACCTTTTTTTTGGTGAAAATCAAAATGGTGGAAGACACCGTCTATTCATCTCATGTGTTTTCACTGAACACACACAGCTGGGAAGTTGACAACTTCCTAGCATGTACTCTCTACACTGTACTGAGATATGTTCCCTCTACTCCCACAGACCGGCGGCAGCTGCTCCCAGAATCAGACGGAGGAATCAGCCCCAGAGAGTAAAAAGCTACCAGAGCCACAGCAGGTGAGCTAGACTCATATTTATAGTATAAAAGATGCAAGCGTGTCAAAGTTGACTCTTGTTGCTGTTGTGAATTCTCGGTCTTCTTTGGCCCCACAGGAAATGATTAGTATATTAATCAAAGGAAACGTCGTACAGTATGAGGATGATGTTCATCTATATTTTACTTATTGTCAAGAAATCCAACAAAAGCACCAAAATCGCCAATGAAGTTGGTTTTAAAATACTTCCATATCTGTGGCACTCAGACAAAAGCCCATTTATTCCCACTCAAGAGGTAAACCATTAGAAATGGTTCACAAATGTGTTTATTCTTTAAAAAGGCTCAATAATTTCCTAAAAAAAAGCTGGGAATTGTAGTTTTTAGCAAACATGACTCTACCAGAAGTAACTAGTGCGTTTGTTGGGGTCTATTTCCAGCTGTGGATTAATGAGTATTTGCTCAAAATAAACTCCAGCGTGAGTGTTTGTGATAATGAAGGAGCATGTCAGCCAGTGCAACTTTGTGGCCGATTGATGTGTTTTCTATGGCACAGACGAATAGGCTACACAGGGAAATACTTGTTAGTGAATCAAGTCATTGATGGTTTTGGTCTTTCAAATGAAAACCCTTTCATGGGGATTTTTGACAACGAGCTCTCATCATCAAAATGTGAAAAACAGGTTTAGCATGACAAGGATGTTTTAAAGATGAAAGAAATGTTAAGCAGGTCTACATGTAACCTGCTCAGTGTGACTTCAGAGACTGACAACTCATACCCTCAAGTGATTCAACTCAGTGTGCAACAAAGTACGACACAAGTGGCACAAAGCAGAGCAGATGACACACAACGCCCACAACACATTCCTGAAAGATGGCAACCAATCTCCTAAAACCTAATATTCAGAGGGCCAATGTCACCTACAGTGTGTGATATTCAATGCCCTGCCAAAGCCTATGCATAACTGCCTCCCTCATCATATCATTGAATTGAGTCACACCTGTTTGGTAGTGGCAGATGGTACCACAAAACAATGCATCTCATTTCCATGCTGTGCAATACTGTGTAACTGAGCAACTGTCTTGCATTCCAAGTGTCAGCGATCCATTTTTAGACACGAGAATATTTCAAAAGAAATCTCGACAAATGGGCAGATTTGCCTTCACTTGTGTGTTTTGTGCCAGAGAGATACTCAGTGATAGAGTCTTGATACGATTGCCTTTTTCAAGTAAGTGGACTGTGTCATCGACACAAAGGAGTACAAGATAATGGTACTCCGTTTTAGATTCAATGTAATGTCGTGAAATTGTTCAACATATTATGTTACATGTTAATGAAGTCCAAAGCAGTTCATTAGCAGAGGCATTTATGCTGCTCTGTATCAACACAAGATGCCAGACTAAGCAGAAAAAAATAGAAATTTGGTGAACATTTTAACATTTTGTTTTCAATCTAAAAGAGGATTTCTTTGATGTTCCGGGTTTTCTGCATAGAGGAATTTTTTGGCGCCCCCAATAAGAGATGGTAGCCAAAATGATAAGAGTTGAGAATAAAAATAGCAACTAAAACCCTGGCCCTATGTGTTTAATAGCAATTTATGAAGCAACTGTTGAACAAGCAGAACATGAAGTTAGATTTGAAGTATTTGACTTGTAGCAGTGAATTCCTCTCTTATTCACAGCCACTATATTTTCCGCCTGTTCTTATTCCCTGGGTGTCAAACACCGATGTTTCGTCCGATACCGATGCACAAGGCACCCTTTAGCATCTTCATGACACGCACTGAGTAACTACAATGTAAACCCATCCGTGTCGTTATTCAGCCCAGTATTGTGTCAGCTTGTGAAATAGTCACAAAATGCAATCTATTTGTTTTGTGTTCATGAACACCAATTGTCCTGTTTTTTTTTCGTGTTGCTCAGCATGAAAATATTGCCAATGGAAAGTCATTTACAATCCTTTTTTGTGGTGCACAAAAAGTAAACGCATTCATGTGACTATGCAATGGTCAGAGCTAGTGACTGCTAGTAGTATTGAATATCAACAAGACCACTTATGATGTGAGGGAGCGGAGGACGATGGGCCAAACCAACACAGGAGTCTAAAAGTGCTGTTGTGGTTTAAACCGACTGCCTAAACCTAATGTTCAGGATGGTTTTCCTAAACCTAATAAAGTGGTTTTGTTGCCTAAACCTAACTCTTTTTTTGTGATGTATTGTTATTGCAAAAAAGAAGTCGTGCCGAGCAACGCAAAAAAAAGGACAATTCCTGTTCCTATTCACGAAACCAATAGAATGCATTTCGTGACTATATCACAAACTGCCATGACACTGTGTTGCATTATTAGATGCTGAGAGAAAATGTTCCAGGAGTATGATGACGTGGGATAAAGACGAGGGGAAGTGGGTCAAACAAAGTCAGGACATTTACGAGGACATTGGGGTTCAAGAATGGTGGTTGAGTCCCAAAGTGTTGTGGAGTTATTTTGAAGTGTTTTCCATAATTATAATGTTATGTTACGTTTAAGACAGGAACCCTGTGTTCAAGTTCTAAAAAAAGTTGAACTAATTTTTTTTGTGAGCGATAAAAAAGAAGAGATGACGTATCACTTAGGCTACTGACTATTCAGACATTAACTTTTTCTAGTGGATCCTTTTTCTCATTAATTGGGAAATTTTCACATTTCATTGCAGCACTGAATCAACAATCGACTCTCTTTCACTGCTGTGGGTTGGTATCCCTCATGCACAGCACTTGCCATTCATGGTGTAGTAAACAATTTGATTAGTAATGATTTGCATTCTGTTCTCCGTGGATCAATCTGCATTAAAGTGCCCCCCTATTCCTGTCACTACTCTACCTTCATTATTCGTTCTCATGTTTATTTTCTTTGACTGGAAACCTGAGTGGCATCTCACCTTTTGTTCAAATGCTTTTGGAAGAAATGGCTATTCTTGTGGTCTTGCACCTGTTGTGTTTTTGTACAACACAAAGACAGGTTTAAATAGCAACACAGCAACACCTGCCCTTTTCTAGGTGAGACATATTCACCCAGTTTCCCGGGGCACAGCGATCAGACAAAGAGGTTCTCGTCGATGTGGCCTGAACATCGACAAGCTGACAGACCACATACCCACATTGGACTTTCAACCAGATTAACTATAATGTCAACAACACGGAGGGAAATAACATTGTTCCGGCTTGGTAGATATACTGTGTCGGCTTTAAAGCCACAGCAGACAATCTAAACTGTATACGATTTATACAAATGTGAGGTGTATTTGTTTGAGTCCATCTTTAAGATTATTTTAGACTAAAGTTTCTAAAATATAACTCCATAACATTCCAGCAAACCCTGGCATCTTTAAAAACAATAGATCACATCTCTAAAGCACAGTGGTATCAGTATCGTTTGTTTCTGACATTCCTGAAATCATTAAGGTAAAGGTGCAAGTGGAAGCGGGATTATAAAAGTCACAAAAAGTGAATGTGGGGGGGAAAAAAATCACCAGAGCAAGCTATGCAGTTGTTCCAAATCATGAATTATTTATTGTTATTCAAAATAATTTAAAAAGCAATGAATATGCCCGTCAGTCATTTTTGGGGGGGGATTTTATAAGATGATTACATATAGATGGATTTTTTACTGCAAACATAAAAAACAGCCTGCTGTGTCGAACTCAGTCAGTTAATTTGTGTTCACCGACATTTTCACTGACACCCACAATAAAACAGGGCAAGGAAAGGGCTATCTTCCTTTTGACAATTTCTTACATCCTTAGGGTAACAGCACAAAGCCAACATAGTCTTACATAAATAGTATTTCTAAAGTTTTCATTTTATCCATGCCTATAGAAAACAGTGACAAATGAGTCAAAATGAAGGCAAAAAAATTCTATGTATGTAGCAGTTAAAACATAGAAGTTGTTGTTTTGTCAGATATTTGTTTTCAATTAGCTTGACTGCTGACATTGGTAGTGCTGCCACTTGACAGCTGTGGCCAGTTTCTCCACAAATCCATGCTTGAACAAAATATTTTGGATGTCCTTAATGGTGCAAAATTCAGAGCATATCTATTGCCACCACACCGCTCCCAACATGAGCCGGTGGCTAGCAGCTAACGTGCTAACAGCAGAAACAGTGCAAGCAACGGCAACAGTGATGACAGAGCTAACAGCGCTAACCTTAGGGGGAACAGGAGGTCCGGCGCTAAGCACCATCTGTCAACAACGTTATCAGCTGTAACCACATAAGCACAGAACGGCCGAGAACGAGCCAGTGGGGCACGCACAGAGATGGGCAAAGATACATCAAAATGTATTTTGAATCAAAATACCCCTCAAATAAATGTATCAAAATAAAATACAAAATACTGGTGCCAGAAAATGTAACAAAATACAATACATGTATTTAAAATATAGGAAATACCTTTTTCTGGATTTTCCGTTTTCTCACAATTTGGTATAGCAGAGCATTCAGGTTTGGGCTATATAATGTACACAAAGCTCTGGTGAAGCCCACTAAGAAGAAGAACAGTCACAGAATGTCAGTGTAACTAAGCACATCTGTGCTTGTTGATGGTCCTTCTTGAACATCATCTTGCTGAGACATGTTGTCCACCTGGCCAACTGTAAGATGTATGAAATAATAAAACTAAGAATACTTTCATAATATGCCTTTTAAATAAAATAAATTGGATATTTAATGGTTTTTTGTTTTTTTGAACAAATGGACATCTACTGTCATAGCCTGGCTAACTGAACTATATTATCTGCCAGTAATTGATATGGCATTATGACATTCAAATTGAGAAGATGCAGCATAACTTGTAATACAGTGCAAGATTAGATGGTCAGACGTCTCTTGATAAGGTTATCATGAACATACAAGCTCCCAATCTCCCTCTTCCTATAGCTAGCTACTCGACTGATAAGTTAACTTGCTAAACACTGGCTATGCACTAGCCTAGACAGCATGCTAGTGTCATTAGCATGTTAGCATCAGTCGCTAGCGTGATATTATAACCATCACCATGTATATACAATAGGCTATGTAGCCAGACCCAGACATCAATTATACATCAAGCTAGTTGACATCTGTCACACTCAGATAAAATATTTAATTTGACAGACAATCTGTTGAACTTGAAGATCTGAAGACTGAACTCGTGAACAGTTTTTTGATTCGTGGAGAAAGTATTTTGAGTATTTTAAATTCAAAATTACTCCACTCTAAAGTATTTTGTTACAAATTATGTTCGATTTTTATCGGCCCTATCAAATACAAATTACAAAATACTCAAAAGTAATTGAAATACGTATTTCAAATACAAGTAATAGAAATACGCGCACATGAACTTAGCTGCACTAAAAGGTAAACAAAGCTCTGAGATGCTCGAATTACAGCACACTCTTTACATAACCAGTAGCTGTTTGCTGCTATAATAATGCTCTGAATGCCATCTAGAGAACCTTTAAGTGAGTTTTAGCTGGTGATAAATAAGACACACAAAAAAAGAAAATCCCAAACCCACATCGAAGTGGGCGGCAATTGAGGTTGGCAAGAAGCTACAAGAGTGCATTAATTAAGTGAGAAATCGTTTGCCTGCAGATGGAAGTGAGAGTCATTGAGTACCCAGTCTCAGGCACTGAATCACAAAACATACATAAGTTAAAAATGTGCTACTTAGTGTTTTCTTATTACATAATTGCCAATATACTATAGTATGGTCAAATTTAAAGTTTACTTTCAAGCTCTCCTGAGAGTGATTGGATAAATGTAGAGGTGTTTGTTGCCTCTTTTGGTTTGTTTTGCTCCAAGCCAGGTGATAGAGTTATAACCCACTGCCATGCAGAGTGATGTGTAACTCAATAATTTGCAAGCAGCCAGCAAGCCTAAAGGCATTCTGCAAAGTGACATTGGTAAACACAAAACAGATGCTTTGCTCGGGAATTGGTTTCTAGAGTGTGCGCAGTGCTTAAACATGTCATTGCCAAAACTGACTTAAATTATTCAAAATAGCACAGAAAATTGCATTCCATTAATGAAATACATTGGAGCCCAATAATTTAAATTTTTTTTAAATGTTAGCGGGGATTTGTGAAAATAGAAGGATAAGAGGAACAACCCCCCCCCCCCACACACACACACACACACACACACACACACACTCTCTCTCTTCAACTGCATTGTGTTCCAATGTGCCACTGAACTGTAAACAGACTGCTGTTGTTGTCTGAGTTGATCTTCAAAAACCCTGAGAGCTGCTGGTTTCCCATCCCAGCAGGTAGTTAATTGCATTTATTCCCAAGTGTGTTTATATATAGCTAATTTTCTTCATAGCTGGAATGAAAACCAGCGGGACTCTGTAGCTGTGTCCCACTCCACGGGTGCTACACCCAGTCAGCATTTCAAAACCTAGTATCATAACAAGTTGACAAGGACATATAAAGTATTGCTGCCTAGAGCATCTGTGAAATGATTGCCCTGTAGTCCATGCCATCAAATTACAAGGCCACATCATCACATCAACTATGCATTAGTTTATTCTGTTCCAGCCTGAGTGAGAAATGATCTAACCTTAGCAATGTCTCTAAGATGAAAAAAATTACATATTTCCAGTGTTGGTGTTAAAGCTGGGGTCAGAATCCTGGATAACCCCGAATTTTTTGACCTGGTCCTAAGTGTGAGGGCTGTTATCTGAACATGTTAACACAGTTGCTCACTTTTTCCCTCAAATAATACAATCTCAGTCTAGATTTGGCTGGAGGAAGTTGTTTGACATCAATATATTAATCTCGTCTAAACATTTCACTGACCTATCAACAGGTCTAAGATCATTTAAAGACACAGAAATGTATATTTGGGTGTCATCTGCATACGAGCTGTGAGTGTACCTAGAGTTGGAAGCTCATGGCCGCTGATCAAACCAAGGTATTTGACGAGTTTGGAGTGAGAATGTGTTGCACATAAACATATGTTAGTTAGACCTCAAGAATACACAGCATGCTCTGGTATAAAACAATGGATGTACACATAACTTTTGTTTGTATGAAAACTCCTCAGGGCCCGTTTAGGTTTGGTTTGCTAGTATTGACTGTTCTGTGCAGCGTTACTTATGTTTACATTTTACTTAGTTGACGTAGTTATTTCAAGGCCAACCATGATGTTTATCCTAAACTTTACAAAGTGGTTTGGTTCCCTAAACTTAGAAGTGTTTTTGTTTGAATTCACAGCGTTAACCACATGTTTACTGCAACGGTACGCTGGGATACCCAGTGCATTAGAAAGTGACACCAAGCGGTCTGACAAAGTGTCGGTCTGTGACGAGTTGGAAGGAGAAGGTGATGGAAGTAGCAGCCCCTAAAACAAGACAGATGCTGTGTGGTTAGAGCCAGGACTGAGAGAGGAATCAGACTGTGTGGTTACAATGCCCTGCAGTAGCCATCAATGTTATCTTTAAATAACATTCTTTTGCATCCCACAGATACATTTAGGAGCATTTTCTGCTCAGATTACAGACCACCACATGTCTACTCCGGAATATTATTGTGTCAGTCTCATTAACAATCTTTATCCTCTGAACCTAAACAGCAAAGGAGCCAAGCGCAGACTGGAAAATCCAACACAAAGCTCTCAGACGACAGAGACGAGGCAGAGGGAGGCAGCAGCAAAAAGACAAAGCCACATGAAGACAACTGAGCGGACGGCCTATCATCCAAAATGCAGAGCTCCTGCGTTGCCTGAAGGATCTTTCTAAGAGCACACAGTTGCGCACTCACAAAAAAACACATGTGCGCCCACACACACACACATGCTCTCACACACACACACACGCATATCAGCATTGTTTGCAAAAGCTGAGACACTGGAATCGACAACAAATTTTCGACTGTCATCTGCAAACCTCCATAGTAAAATGGCATGCATTCTAGAAATTCTTTTTAATAAGGTAGCAATGGCACTGGTAACTTGTTTCATGATCGTTCATTTGTTGTTTATTTATCTGAGTTTTATTCTGAGTGCAGACACTGCTTTCTAAATGTGTGATCTTTCTAGAAAAATCCCTTTGCACTGGTGAGGTCTGACACTGTATCCTGTGATATAAGTACATCAATTGACAAATAAAAGATACTACTACTACTACTATTACTACTACCCAACTTAGAATATTGTTTGTCACTCATTGTAGCAAGGTTAATTTACTCCTCCACATTTTGAAATGTAGAGGCTCAAGTTGGCTGGCCAACTGTTCAACATTTAATATTTCAGCACTCCTTCTGCCTTTAACACTCAAGAGGCAAAGAGCCAAAGACTCACAATGGGTCGTCTCCCTGAGAATGTGCCATGCACTGAGTAGTAACTCCAAGCTACATGTATCTGTGTTATCTGACCTTTCTGTGTCCTTTCAATAAACTGTAATTTTCAGTAAATGTGTGAAGAATAAATGGTTATTCGTGGGAAAGAAATGAGTGAGCATGTTTGTGATCAACAGAGAAAATGGTTGCATTAGGTGTCAAACAATACTAGAAGAGGAGGCACTGACACGTCTGAGGTTAGAATAAAATTAGTATTTTCCAAAATAGAAATGATCCGTCAATGCAACTCTGAAAGTTGATTTAGTGGAATAATTATCTGATACAAATGAGGAAGGTCAGAGTAGGACCTCTGATGTTTGAGCTGTCCAAAATGCAAATCCAGCCTCCATTCACCGAGCAATTCTAAATATTCTTTCACCTTAGGTGACTGAAAATTATTTAAGCAGTCATTTTCTTTGGTTTAATGAAGTCTTATTTCACTGAAGCCACATCTAAATGCTGTTTTACTGTAAAAGGTTGACACCAGACAAATTCAACCTTTTGAATTTATATGCAGTGCAGTCATCCACAAGTTGACCATTATTGCTGAAACGATTAATTGTTTTGATTAATCATTCTAAAAATAAATCACAAAAATATTTTTAAAGAAGCTCAGAGCCAAAAGTGATGTCATCGAATGTCATGTTTTGTCCGACCAAAAGTCCAAAAATATGAATTTACTAGCACGATAAGGGAAATCAAGAAGCTGGAAACAAATCATCAGGATTTTGATTGAAATTTAAAATTTACAGAAATGACGAATCAGTCTAAATAGTTTATTTGCGATTTTTTAAATTTTCAACGACCAATAGATCAACTGAATCATTGCAGCTCTAGTTTTCATCAACTTTGTGGATTGGAATTGTGAAGAAATAGCAAATATTAAATTGTCGTCAACAACATTTATGTAGCACATATTGACTGCCAGGTCTGTTTTACAAAGGAATCAGCACACCACCTGAGACGTGCTCGAGCATTATGGGATCATGATTACAAATATAACTCTAAAGGTGTGTTCAGACTGAACACAAAGCTGGCCTGATTGCATTCTAAAGTCAATGCAAAGTGGATGCAAATTATCCCTGCAAGGCGCAAGCTGAGACAAAGACGAGAGCGGGTAAAGTTGAAATGGTTTCAAATTATCAAAACATTTGTGCTTGTGCCGAGGCTGAATGACTTCACTTCATGAATGTCTAGCAGAAGGAAAAAGAAAGGAAACCGGATGAAGCAGAAAGAGGTGGAGTTCTCAGGGGTTCTGAGATCAGTCGCACAGCAGTTACACAATTTACAAAGGTGAATTAACAAGTAATTAAGTGCCTTAAACCTGCATTGTTTCTAATGGTCATCAGGGGGCGACTTTTCTGCTTCAAAAATAAGTCAGATTGTATAGAAGTCTAGGAGAAAATGACTTGATTTATCACCCCAGTTGACAATGTTATGGTCTCAATAGCTAGTTTCAAGTCTTCAGTACAGCATGATATTCATTTATTGAATAAAGGTAAACGATGGACAATAATCTATAGGTAAACCCTGTGGTTGACAGTGTGTGACCACCACATTGTCCCGTCTGGGAGTTGTCCATGTTTTCTTTTCATGAAAGGTAATTGGAATATGTTGGTCTCCTCAAAATGTGTCATTCACGGTTCAGTTGTACTTAGCTGCACCTTCTCTATCACTTCAGGCCGAAATGTCGAACTCGAGGCTGCAAAACAGCACTCCACAAACCAATGGGTGACGTCACAGTGACTACATCCATTTATTATATATACAGTTTGTGATTAAAGCATAAAACCACAGCAACTCCCTAACCATCCAGTGTCTTCATCACCCTACATCCCCCATCAGTCTCCAGGTGCACTGTCTACAGTGGTGCCATCAATCATTTTCAACACGTCATCGTCACCTTTTCAAAAGGTGATCCAAATTATGCCGGACGTCACTCTCATATGTTTGGCATCCATATTTGTTTGTGACAAACTTCTGTGTCTCTTCTTTGGGCTTTGGAAGGCTACCAACTGTTTTAATTAGCGTTGTGGTCACAGCATCCCCTTCATGCTCTATTTTAAGGCCCGTAATCCCTCTTTTTCGCAAATTTGAGAGCCTCTTCCAGGTCGGCTCTGTGTCTTGCTGAGAGCAAACAAAAGGGCATGTCGCCAGGATTTGAAAACCAAATGGCAGGCCTTGCAAATGCTGCCATTAAACCTCAGAGCTGCCAGTGGCCGAATCGGTAGAGGAGGAGAAAGATGGTCAAGGTTGCCATTAAGTGAACAGGCTTGGATATAATCAAAGTGACAGTGTGGTTTTTGAAAGCCACCTTCATTTTACCGTCTCCCATTCTCAGCTTGTGGAAATGATGTGTTTTTAGAGTACAATTACTCTTAATTTCTAGCTGAGCTGCACACCCAGCCAAAGGGAAAATGGTGGCTGACAGTGTGCATGAGTCCTCTGCTTTCTTTTTACTTTGTTCAGCTTAACTTGGTCAGGAAGTATCCTACAGACCTGAGAACAAGTGACATGTATGCAGGATCACAAGTCTGACACACAAGCAATCGTGGTACGCTCACTTGGACTGTCGTGTTTTGTTTCAAAATTGAAGCTATTTTTCAAATGTGGAACAAAATCAAACATTCAAACTGTAGTGATATTTCCAAAATCAACATTTACACAATGTGCACAACAGGCCATGCCTTGTACTCAAGCAGGGGTCAGTCTGATCTATTCCTAAGTCCAGTCGCCCTATCAGTAAAAAAAAAGGCTATTGTCATTCCCATCACAAAATGGAGGATTGAAACAGAGCTGAAAGGATAATAACACTAAACCACCTGAGAAGTGATATGTGGAAGCTAGAGATGTCCCGAGTCGATGCTGAAGGCCCCTATCCAGGCATAATTTAATGGATGAGTAAATGAAAAATGAGTAAAATAAAGCTGATCAAAACCCAAACCCTTCTTTGCTGAACTCCACTGTGTTTTGAAACACCGACAGTGTGGATAAGGAAAATGATTTAGATAAACAAATCTTTTATCTCCGCTCGCTATTTGTCACAGCAGTGTACAAAACGTTCAGGAAGCAGCTTTGCATTTCTTTTTGCAAGTTAATAGGACAGACGTCATCGGCTGCAGGTCAGCTGTTGCTCATCAACAAAGTATAACTTGGCTGTTGTCGGGTTTGTGTGCTCTCTGAAAGCCATGTCTGCACACTGCCAAAGATTGTTTCGGAGGTAAACGCAGCATCCCTCAGTAACACCCATAGAACAGCTCAATGCCCGTTCTACTCTCACTCTCTTTTCATGTCAACACCACTTTACAACCGCAAGTGTTTACTACAGCTGTTATTCATGGTGTCAGATACTTGTTTTAACATTTAGGTAAATGTAAACAACAGGACTCTGATCAGGATATCCCTGGTGGAAGCATTTTATATTTTTACACAAAAATGACAATTATGGACATGAGTAGGTGCTTTTTTAAAAAACTTTTTCAGATGAAACTGGCTCACGGTACCAATATAACAAATTTTGGATTCACCACAAATGAATGTTATTACTGAAACATAATTCAATGTAGGATTAGTGGATTTCATCCAAATTAATTCCAGTGAGTGAAGTGTCAGTCTTAGTCTTTCAAATGGAATCTCTCTCTCTCTCTCTCTCACACACTCACACTCACACACACACACACACACACACACACACACACACAGTTATTATACAATCACAAAAACCTGAAAATAAAACTTTGAAAGTCCCTGAGGGGGAATGTTTTCAACTTGAATTTGCATTAAATTGTATTCCACTAGTCAAGTGAATACGATTTTTTCAAAGTAGACATTTCCACAGGTGTCACTAATAACATTAACAATAGCTCCGTTCCAGTAAGCCGTGACAGTTCGCCAGCATGCACAATACCAGGACCCTGAAACTCATCTGAAAAGCTGAAGAAACTCTCAGCATTAGAGAAGCTGTATAGAAGGAGCTAAATGTTATAAAACGTCCTCAACTGTGCGAAAAACTATATCAATAGAAAAGGGCGTAAAGTGGACATTGAACTGTTTTCTGTGGCCATAGTGCAAAAGAAAACTGTGGGGCCATGAAGTATGTGGAGAGGGACGGCTGGCTTGTTAGCAAGCTAGCTTGTTAATTCCACCACGCTTTATGCTACACTTGGCAGCGGGCCACATAAAAATGGCTGACCATCCTGCCAAGTTCATATGAATGGGAATCTCCGTTCTACTCACGCTCACTGGAGGTGTTTTTTTGCTTTTGTTGAAAAATAGTGGATTGTGCTAAATGGAACATGGATATGGATTAACTTCTCTAACATTTAACTCAATGATTAATTAACCACAACTCGCAGGACGAGCAGCAGTCATGCACAAGCGTGAAACAGTTTAGGCGGAAGTGTTTGAAATCATAAGATATCAGAGAAGATGCTTGTGTTTGGGAAGTAGTGAGCATACGACTGATTATATTAGACATGGATTATACTGCACGAGTTGTGTGAGTAAGTTTTTGAATGCTTCGTTCGCCGTGGAGGCGTGACAGAAAAACACAGTTTTCTTTGAGAATTCAAGGAAAGTATCCTTTTTAAATATGCTTGACAATTGCTCTCTTGATACTGCTGTGGCGTGCTCACTCCGTCTAATGTCACTGAGATTCCTGTAGAATAAAGTTTCACTTCCATTTCTTTCCTCTGCCTCAACCTTCTTTACGACTTAAATCCCATCTGTGCTATTTTTACACCTGCTCGTTTTGTGCGATACACGTCTGGGACACAAAGCAGCACGTCTGCACCTGGAAGAATCCAGCACACTCTACCGCACAGTGACTTCTCTTGTGTTTTCATTGAATATCACCATCATTTGATCCAGTCTTGGGTCTCCTCTGAGTAATCAATACACCTTGTCTGAGATCAGTTGTGCAATTTGTCCATCCTCAAGACAACGTGACAACAGCGACAGCAGCATGAGCGTGCAAGATAGCTCTGTAATCCAGAGCAGATAGTGTAGTGAATTGTATAATGATTTTTCTAAAACAAACTCAGTTTCTCCTTTATGTAAGAATTAATTGTCACTAGTATTTATAATGGTCTACTGCATCAGTTAAATCACCATTGAGGGCTTATGGGAGTTTTTTATATGATTCCATTCTTCTTAGTTATGCATGAAAAAATAACATGATTATATAATTACAAACAGGGAATTCGAGTACTAGACAGCAAAGGTCAGCTGTATTGTGAAAGTGAATAGCTTTCACTATTCAAACTTGTGTTGTTGGGGGTGATGCTGAATTGCTACACGCACACACACACACACACACACACACACACACACACAAATGTCTTTATAGAGTGAGCAGAAGTGTGTTCAAGATTGCCCACTTCATCTGCCCCTTTATCCACAGCTCTTAAAGCGCAGCTTGCTAATGCGCTGAGAGAGTAAATGATTTTAATGAGGTGGAGGGTTGTGATGGAAGAGCTGCTTCGCACTGCCATCAATTTTGAAATGGTGGCGGCAAGCAAACCCGGGTCGAAAAAATGGTGCAGATATGCATTTTTTAAGCACTTATGTGAAACCTGTGTTGAGAATAAGGACCGCATAAGCAGCACATTAGATGTCAGTCACAGATCAGCATTGGCTTTTAATATTCTCCGACTGTATGATTGTCGAGCACTCATTAGTGCCAGAACTCCCATTTGCGGAAACACCATCCACTTGGCACCTAATTAAACTGCAGCAGCAGGAAACTATGTACAAATACAAATTTCTTGTACCTCCTTGTAGCCCAAGGGGGTTAAAATGTGTTCATTTCATCACTTTTCTTCAATTTATCAAGAGCTAATGCCAATTAGGCAAAATCATTGCTACTGTTGGACATGTATTGTAGCTATGATTTTCATTTTTCTTTCAAGATGAGAATAAAATACATTATTACATTGAGGTGTTTTTTCCTGATTAGGCTGTTCATTATGACATACTGAGATGTCAGTTCTTATGTAAACTTAACCGTCATAGTTCAAAGCATTTGTGAACTATTTTGTCATTGTGAAAAAGTTGCCTTCCTCCCTTTTCACCAGGCCCAGTATTAACAATGTTGAAGTGGCTGCCTAGTTATTATTTCAGTCCTGTGTTTCAGTTTATTTGATCCATTAACAATTGAGGCGTATAAATGACACAAGCCTGTTTCTTTTGTTTGTTTCATGGAATTGTGTTGTTGTTCTGCAGCTCAATCAAGAAAAGTGGAAACAAGTTTGTCTAATTATGTCCTCTCATCTTGGAGAGGCTAGGTGCTGTTAAGATGTAGGACGATAGGTGAGATCTTTCTGCAGTAAATGACATTCCATAATATTTGGTGTGCTACAATCCTTCTTGCCCGCTTCAGGGTCCTAAAAGCGAACAGGTCATGGAGGGATGGCAGATTGCAGCCAATCACCTTCTCAGCAGAGCGAATGATGCGCTGCAGCCTGCCCTTGTCCTTGGCAGTGGCTACGGCGTACCAGACCGTGATGGAGGAGCAGAGGATGGACTCAATGATGGCTCTGTAGAAGTGCACCATCATTGTCTTTGGCAGGTTGAATGTCTTCAGCTGCCTCAGGAAGTACATCCTCTGCTGAGCCTTCATGGTGATGGAGCTGATGTTAGGGTCCCACTTGAGGTCCTGGGTTATGGTGGAGCCCAGGAAGCGGAAGGACTCCACAGCGTCAACGGGGGAGTCCACAACCATCTCCACTGTCTTTAGAGCTCTAAGTGGTTCAGACCACACCAGGTCACCAGATGGTCAATCTTCCACCTGTAGGCTGACCTCATCCCCACCAG